TTTTATTCTTCACCTGTGTTGTCTTGTATTTTCTCTCCTTCCTCCAATACTCCTTTATGTCTGCGACATTTCCTTTAGTTAAACTTTGAATATCATTCCTCTTTTGACTCTCTTGTCACTAGATACCAAAATTACATATCCTTCTCTATATATCGATCCACTAATTTCACTATATTCCGTGTCGCTTTGTTCCTACACCTTTGTCAAATATTTTAATTTCCTTCCTGATTCAATAAAAACCTCTCCCTCTCTGTCCTCCTTTCGTTCCGCTGCCTCGCGTTTCATCGCGTCACTCACAGTATTTAAATGAGACTGATTGATGTGTTGCATATGTATATGTGTGTGTGTGTGTGTGTGTGTGTGTATGATTTTAGCTATTGATTTACCTTTTATTACATTGTTGTCTTATTTCGATTTTGTTACTGATAGGCTTTGTAACAGCAATTTTGCTGACGCCTAACCATTTGTAAGCTACTACTGTCTATTGTATTTATGTTTATGTTAACTATAACCTATTGTATCATATTTTATGTCTATTACTTTGTTAACATGTAATCTTTTTCATATAGCTTTGCAATAAATTAAATTAAATGGAATTATATTAAATTAAATTAAATTAAATTAAATTTTGTTATAGGTACGACATGCTTTACTATTCCTGTACACTCATGTATCATAAAATAACTATTAAATCTTTTGCACGTCCTACAGTAATCATTTTATATAGATTATAATTTATGATGGCGTTACTTAACACAGTCATAAATCGATTCAACTCACAATAATTTCATTAATATTAACAGTAAGAAACTAAAATCACAATACTAATATAACATGTAGCAGAGTAGTTTTAAAAATTAAAAGCATGTAACAGAGTAGTTGCGGGAAAATTACCCCTATTCCTTCTATTTTTTCTGACTTTTGCGGCGTAAATCCCAATGCGGCGTATTTGCCAGATTCACTCTATATTTAAGTCAGTTAGCAATGAGGAATTTAGTATTATCGAGATGTGTGTATGCAAAAAATTGCTTCTTCCCGTAATTATATTTAATGGTATTATTAATGTAAACAGTATAAGATAATAAATGCTGTTCCTTGGTTTCTTAAAAACTAATTAACTAAATAATATAACGATACTTTTACTGAAGTTGGTCCCTGAGATATTGATTAAAAAAAAAACTGGAATAAAAACAGCAATTTTATAAGTCTATATTTTATTAATCAAACCGATATAGCATAGAGCGTATAGATACAGATATAGCGTTTTTCTCTTTTCTTACAGACCAACCATGGTACTTGAGGGTTAAATAAATATCTGAAATATATTTATATATTTTTATTTTTAGTATTTCTTTTTATATTATAATTTTTTTGTATTTATATTATTTTTTAATATTTCTTTTGTGTTTAATATCTTTTGTATTTGTTAAAGTGTTTTGCAAGGAACACTGTAAGTATACTAATAAATAACACATCCGAATTTACCACGAAACGATGATGTAACTTGATAACAATTTTAATTGGTCGTCTGTCACGTGATTACATCCTGCGCACAAACATACCCTTGTCTTTGAGTATGGTCAACGCAATGTTGCAAACGCTTTGAAGCGTTTTTTAATTGATCAGTTTGTAAAATTCTTTCTTCTAATTGGTCCATCAAACGCTTCAAAACATTTGTAGCGAGATTTTGACCACAGCCTTTATATCATGGAATTAATCGAAATCATTTGAGGCTAACGTAACTTGTGACGATCGGAGGCAGCCGTTATGATCGCCTTTAGTGCCCTACGCTGGAATTTGCTTTTGCACCCCATAAGGATTGCTAAGTCTCTGAAGTATCAATCCCCCGCCAATGACAATGAATTAACAACTAAAGGAATTTCCACCAATTTGCATAACACAGGAATACAATAAATTTCATATTTTCTTTTGTAATAATATATTTGACGCTTAATGCAACATACTATATTATATTTTTTAGCTTTAGTTTTTTATTATAAAATATTCTGATTATGTCTTCAATTGTTATATAATCAAGACTATGTAATCAAAACTGTTCGCCAATTCTTTTTCAATTGAATCATAGCTAAATTACATGACCGCGTCCACGTCATTGTATTTTTCAAATAATTCTTTATTATTTTTAATTTTGAAAAAAATGCCTCTGTAGTTGCCATAAACATTAACACAGTTAATAAAATCTGTAACGCTATTGCTAAATTTGAAGATATTTCCAGAAAACCACTTTTAGCTAATTTATTTAAAATATCAAGTAAGGTAAAGCTTTATATTTACAGGAATAGCGCTGCCTATTAAAATTTTGCGCCCTACGCTGAAGCGTACCTACTTAGTGCCTCATAACGCCTCCGTTGACGGTCATGTGTTTACTCCATGATGGAATGTCAATTCCTTCCATCATGATTTATCCCCTTTGTTTTCTGTATCTGCGCAATGGATTACCATTCATCGACATATATATATAGTATGAAACAAATGTCTTTGACAAATATCTTTCGTCTTGCGGACCTAGAAAAAGAAAGATAAGAAATGTTTGGGAACTCTCTTTCTACTATTGTCCTATTGGTTGAACCTCTCTACTATTATTCTATTGGTCGCTACTACCCAAATATCATTCTATCTTTCTAGATCTGTTAAGATGGTTTCGATACTAATGCTCCGCCCAGTACTACATGTCGATGTTACCACTGTAGTATACCCTTGTCTTTATATCATGGGCATAACTCCACTTCACTAATGGAAGCGAACAAAGTTATTACTAGCGTGGATTTCGGACAATAAAGAGTTCACATGAAATTATTGAAAACCTATTGAGTGCCAGGGACTTAATTTGAATGAATCCCACGCATATTCCAGCTTATTGCTAAGGTCTGGATATCGATTATGTAAACTTTCATGAAATTTTTTCACTTTTCGTATGTATCAATCTCACGTGAAAAGTTTCACTTTCAAATGATATCAGACTTAATGATTATGTAAGAAAATTATGAGAAAGTGAAATCAGATGTAAGGAAGTTATAAGAAAGTGAGAAGGTGAATTTACATCGTTTCTCTTAAATTTAACAAGTTAAATTTAACAAGAAAATTTGACAAGTGTTCACGGGCGTATGTACATGCATACGTATTTTGATAGGAAATCACATTGTGCTCATTATTTATTGTTCCTTATACATATAATCGAGAATAACAATGAATATAACTCAAAAACAAAAAAAATACTGTTAGACATAATATCAAAAAATTTGGATATTGTGCGAGGAAGATTGTCGCAAAATTCTCAGAGCCATATGAAAATGGTAAAAACATGTTATTTCATTGCTCTTGATCTTGATTGTATGTATAATAGTAAAAAAATATGTATTCAAAACTCGTAGAAAAATGTATGGGAGAACATAATACAAATTCTAAATTGTTCTGGATTAGGGTCGGATAAACCTTTATCTGAATGGAAAAAGGTTATTTTTTAATCTGTTTCATAAATCTCTATTTTTTTATTATAATTCTCATTTTTAAATTTTCATGTGATTTTTATGCACTTCATATTTTTATCTTTTACTCATATATTTAATTTAACATCATACAACGTTTTTTTAATATGCGAAGTTTTCGCATGTTAACTGCATGCTCTTTCTTTTCGTTCGTACCATTTACGCGAAACTACGCAATATCCATTTCAAATATATATTTCAAATAGATATTCAAATATGTTTGATATTTGTAAAAGCGAGAGAGTTCTAGTGCAGTCTAATGCAGGAACAGAAAACAGACCAAAAGATCGAAAAACAAGCTAATTTGTATCAATTTACTAAAAAATTAGAATTAAAAAATTATAATTAAAAAATTAGAAAATTAGAATTTCACATTTTAGGCATTTCGTTACTTGCCGAAAAATTTCCCGTGAACTATTTCACATTTTGTAACAATTACTTAAGTCGCTTATTCATTACATTCACGTAAATTTGTTCATTTTTTGTGTATTCATTCCTTGGTGAAACTTTACATAATCGATATCCTGGTCTACAATCAGTCGGGAGATGTTGTATGTTGTATGCATGTGCATACCCTTCATTTTTCGTGACGGCTGTCGATGTCGATTGTTGGGCGTTTGGATTGGTCAGGTCCCATCTTTTACGACTAACGACATCCGATAAACTTTAGCCAACTTGATTGTAGACGAGACTTAATTCTAATATTTATGGCGAATTCGGCACACATACACTGACTCTGCTCTAATGCTGCTCTAACAATATGCGAGTAGAACCACTTTGGTGCTATGTTGAATTGCACTGTCAGAAAAGTTTGATCAGTGCAACATTTCTTGAACTCGTTCATTCGGTTAGTCCAAATATAAATTTAGCACTATAATGAGTAGATATATACTATACAGTTTTTATTTGTCGAATACGATCTTAATGCATTGATACAGCTTAAAACATATACTATTGAAAGGAATATAGGCTTAAAAAGTTGAAGAAAAACAGTGAAAAAAGATTACATTTCACTTCCCCATCTCGTGTGTGTCGGTCTGGATTATGCGCATTACTGACTAGGCACATTCTATCTCCACCCTTGTTAATTTTTTCGGCTTTCTATCTCCATCCTTGTCAATCTTTTCGGCTTCAGTCAAGTATACAGGGATTGTAAACTCATATTACTTCCAATAGTATATAGCAGAGAGCACTCTTTCATAACACATAACACGTAATGCATATGAAAATATACCAATCAAAGTCCTTCGTTTCCTTCCTTTCCATGAAATAAAGAACTCTAATTGGTTGAATTTCTTATGTCTTATGTGTTATGCATTATGTAAGAGTCTATGTTCCCCGCTTATGTTTTAAAATATAATACGCACAAGCTGAATGCGTGGCGCTTAAAAAGTTCGCATTCAGTGCACATTAGTGCAATCTGCCGAATTTGCTATTAGTTTCACATATTACTCATTATTGTCTTTGTCTAATCTGGTACTGGTTATATCACAGATGGAAGCCTAAAGAAAATCCCTAGCGAGCCGAAGAATGTTCCAATTGTGCTCAATATGCTCCCTCAAGCAGACAGCACAGGTTTTCTCATCCATCAAGATCGCTCTTCTCAGAAACCGTCCAAACTGCATATTGACATTCCATCTATCAACGATGGTCCTGGAATATAACTTATGTTGGTCAGAAAAAGTTAAAATAAAATAAGAAACGAAGAAGAAAGATAAATAGGAATAGATCACAAAAGAAGAGAATGATGTAGAAACAACATACGCGCGCGCGGGGGCGCGTTCCTCATCATACAAAAATTTGAATAATCCTTTTTTTTTGTTTCATTAAGAAGAGTAAGTTATGTATTTATGTTATAGGTTATATAACTAGAGAAGATTAATTACATAAATAAATCAATTAAAACGATCTTGATAATACAATTTATTAGTTAAACGTTGGCATATATTGTATTATGTTGATTCTACAATGAGTCAATAGTTCTAAGTCTTATTAGTGAAGTTGAGCCACTGAAATAACTATTGGAACAATATAGCGCGATGCTGCTGTTTTTGTTAAGAATGATCCGAGAGAGAGTTTCAAATGGCATCTTTATCCTTTTCTAACTTGTATTCAAATATAATTGCGAATGTGCAGTAGACGATAGCTTTTCAGTGCAACAGAGTGCGCGAAATTCTAAAATTAATGTTTCTTTATCAATGTTAATGTCATTACCGCATTTACTACCAATCATTGTATTAACTCTTATGAAAAAAATTCTCAATTTTGAGCGTTGAATACTCAAAAAGAACGCTCAAATTTGGATGTGATTTCGGACCGTCAACTGAAGGTTGACACCCAATTGAACGTTAACGCCCAAAGAAAACCATCAAAATAAATAGCTTTATTTTATAAAATTAATTAATTCTGTTTTATTGTTAAAATAACATTGTTGATCTGTATCATATTCTGAAATACACATGACAAAATTAAATTGAAAAAAAAAAACACTTTCGCAGCTCTTTCATTTAAGAGTTAATTTCCTGATTTTTCTAAGCAGTTACCTATTCAATTTTGTACTTCATCCAACAATGCTTTACCTCTACAATCGTACGGGAACTGCTGCTTCGATGATCTAAGAACACTGAATGTTAATGGATGTATAACTGTGACATATCTCAATAGATAAGTTTGTCAGAAAGATGTTTCATATATAGTTAAAATATATTTGCTTAACGATTACACTTTGTAATGTATCTTAATTAAACATATGATAATGAAAATGATTCAAATGGTGATCGAAACGTATATAGTTGTAACATTTAAATAAATTTATATACACAAATCTATCCAGTATCAGCTTTTATAGGCAATTTTAAAATTTGATTTAATTCGCTAGAGCTTGGTTATTAATTTATTTTTTAAAATTTATTTCTTCCCAGATAATAAAACCTTTCTTGGTATAAGAAAAGAAATAGGTGCTTAGTACAAATTTTTTATCATGATCAATTGTCATCATGTTGCTGCCACCACAGCAATAGAGAAAAGACTCCCTATTATGAGATTACCAAGTTCATTTTGGGTAAATGCTAGAAGTCTATAGAATTTAAAAAAATAATAGGTCATTTTAAAGGGAATTTAATAAGTTTTAAGATAACGTTATATAAAATTTAATTCAAATTCCATTTTTTTGAAAATTGAAGAAATGTAAAAAGTGAATGAATCACAAAGTCAAAAAATTGTGCTCTTATGAGATGCCCCGAGAAATCGATAGTAAAACGCAAAGTATAACAATATTACAATTAAAAAACTTTATTTAATGTTTCTAAAATACAAACAAACATAGTCAGCGTGCGCGAAAAGTGAACATGCGATAGATTGTACCCAGAACTCGTCTTCAGGTAGTTGGAATCAAGCATCGCAGAAATAGGCACTCGACGTTCATTTCGATTATTTTTTTTTTATTATTGTACAATAATATTGTTATACTTTAGCAACGATTTTCACTATAACATAAGAGTATGGGTTATTTCATATTAGAATATCCTGGGTATCTCATATTACGATTTCCACTTATGATTTTACGATCATCAAATCTAACTTCTCTAATTAAACAATTCAACATATCTTGTATTTTTCTATTAGTATGACCTTACTCTATCACTACATGAAGAATTTATTGCCAAATATTTATTTATTAAATAATAAACAAGATTTAAAGGCTCATTTTAATGAAACTTGAAGATATCCAAATTCTAAAATCTTGTTTTACAATGACTACAGGTATAATTTAATAATAAATTTTCTACTAGTTTTCAATCCAAGAGCAATAAATTCATGATGGAACCAATAGATAGCGTTCATTAATTTAACAGAAACGCTATCTCATATTAGACGCCTATGTCATAATAGGGCTTGCCTCTAATAGTTTAGGCCAATCTAGAGGCATTATACCGACGGTTGTTTAAGCGAGATTCAATTTATTTCTCATCTCTTTCCAACTAAAATTGAAAAAAGACAATGAATAAGTTGAATCTCGGTTAAGAATTAACCGTGAGTTGCCTAACTCTGCTTAAAAAGTCCGATAGAATCAGATAGGAAAAAACTCTATCTGATTGAATCGTGTTTTTGGTACATAAATTTCAGATTACTTATCTGAAATATCTGATAGATTTTCTATATTTCTCTATCCTTTTTGTCATACAGCTTATATATCGTATTTAATCAATTTCTATTTAGTCAATTTCTATTTAGTGTTATCAAAATCAATAATATCCTATCATGTTTTTGGTTCGTAAATTTCAATTTTTTTCGTAATTATTTACCTGATATATTTGATAAATTTTCTATATTTCTCTATCGTTTTTGTCACACAGCTTAGATATCGTTTTTAATCAATTTCTATCTGGTATTTTTTATCATAATTAATAGTATTGTATCGTTTTAATCGTAAATTTTATTATTTTAAAAAAAAGCTTTTTATAATAATTAAAATACAGTTATTATTTTTTATTATTCTTTTGTAGAATTCATTTATATTTTCACATGCAATTTATTAATTACAATTACATATATATATATATATATGCATCGGAAATTTACAATTTTTGAAAACGCATATCGGAATCGATGGAATTCGAATCTGAGACCTACGGAATGATAGTCTAGCACTCTAACGCTGAGCTATAATCGCTTGTCTGGATACTTTAGCATGTGATAGTTATAGAGACATTTCTGAATTATGGTAAGTTACATAGATTTTTATAAACATTGTATCATGTTTATCATATATCTTAAGTATTGTTTTTAATCTCAAATTTTAGATTACTTGCTTGATATAAATTTTCTATATTTCTCTATCATTTTCATCATATAGCTTAATTATCATTTTTAAACAATTTCTATCTGGTCACGCGATTATGAAAATAATTAAATAATTAATAATTAATAATATTAATATCACGTTTTTGAATTGTAAATTTCTTGAATTAAATGTCTTTGAATTGTAGATTACTTATCTAAAATATTTGATAAAGTTTCTATACTTCTGTATCATTTTTGTCAGCTCAGATATCGTTTTCAATCAATTTCTATCTGACCATGTTCTATTAAAATTAATAATATTCTTTCGTGTTTTTGCTTTGTAAATTTTAGAATTTGAAATTTAATCTTAAATTTCAGAATCTGAAATTTACGATTAAAGATATGACAGAATATTATTAATTTTGATAACATACACGATTAAAATAATTGATTAAAATCGATTTAAGTTGTATAATATAATAAAAACGATACAAAAATAAAGAAAGTATGTCACGTACTTTAGACGAGTTATCTGAAATTTACGATTCATAAACGATAACATATCATTAATTTTAATAAAACATGACCAGATAGAAATAGATTCAAAATGGTACGAGTATCGAAGCTCTCTCTCTCTCTATATGACGAAAACAATAGACAAATTCATACAGAAAATTTATCAAATATAACAGGTAAGTAATCTGAAATTTACGAATTTTAAAAACGATATTTAAGTAACATAATAAAAACGATATAATGTTTATACCGTTTTTAGAAAGAAGAAACTATATAATTTAATTCAGAATGTCCCTATATGTTATTTAAAAAAAAATCTATTTTATTGGAAAAATTATCGTATTCTATAGTTGATAACATAATGTGACATTTAGATTACTAAATAATTAATTTTACTCAATGATTTAAATGAATAATTAATTATATTACAATGGTGGAATAATTTTTTTATAACATCTATCTATTTAAACATATAGGGACATTTTTGGATTAAATTGTATAGATTCGCTTAAATCATTCTGTGACTTATTTTGTATTAAATCAAATAATGTGACAAAGAAGCTTGTGTATAGTTACTTATTCTATCGTTTAAATAAGATATAAAACGATAGATTAACTTTGTACAACTTTGTTATATATGCTGAAATCTGCGAAATAATTGTTCAATGATCTGAAGAATATCATATTATATTGCCAACGATAGGATACGATAATTTTTCTATAACATCTTATTCAAATATATAGGAACATTTTTGGATTAAATTTTATATAGTTCATATAAACATCCTATCGTTTATTTGATATTAAATCAGAAAATATGATAGGATCATATAGAGAAGCCTGTATTCAGATAGGTAATCTATCGTTTAATATAAGATATAAAACGATAGAAATTTATAACTTTTCCATCTGTCGTGATTTTAATGTCTAATGGATACGATAGATTTTGATAAAAATTATATAGAATTTCTATAAGATTTATATAAATTTCTACCGTTTTTTATCGAATTTTTTAAGCAGGGAAGTGTCATATACAAATTGAGAGTAAATCGCGTGTGACCATCAAATTTGGTGTATAGTTCCTATAAGCGCAAAATATTCCTAGAACGTTATATGGACATTATTTAAAAAAAATTAAAATAATGTTACAATATTTCAATAATATCATATATTTTTTTAATATTATGAGAGTATTCTATAGAAATTATATGTTTACTTAGATAATAGAGATCTCTAGATATTATATCTTAATATCTCTAAAATATTAAAATATTTATAAATACTAATATACTATAATTATTTTTAATTTAGTGCAATTTGAATTCACAATCCAGTAACAAAAAGTCCAGTCTATGTTGCATTTTGTTGCTAAAAGAAAAAAACGTTTCGACGTGATTTTAAGTACATATCCAGTTCTACAACTGCGCATCAAAATCATTTTCAATCTTTAAACGTATATTTATACTGAACAGATGTAGCAGTTTTATAAATTAAAGTAAATGTTGTTATAATTCTCTTTAATGTTTATACAATATTACAGTAACGTAAAATAATTTTACTTTTAATAATAATATCATATTATCAGGAATGGATATATAACCTTCCATTAATTCCATTATTTCAAGAATATTATTTAATATTATATAATTTCAGTAAAATATTCTCAGAATGTTATATTTAATATTCTAAGAATATGCCTAAAATATTGAGTCGGGGAAAAAATTTTTTCATATTTTTTAATTCAAAATTGTATATACAATATCTTCGTCAAAAATGAATGAAATTTAAATTAAAAAAAAAAAGATTTTAAAGCTTGAAATCTCTACTTTCGAAAGGTTACTATATTTTTTGAGTTTCTGTGAGTTTGGTAATTTTTACATTTAAAAAACTACGAGCTGAAAAAGATAAAAAATTTTCTTTTCATTTTAAGGGTCTCTCACGTGTCCAAAAAAATTTACAAAGATTTTTGACTTATCGTGAAAGCTTAAAGCTTTTCCTACAAAATCATTTTTTAAAAATATTCCTACGATTTTTTGTTATTGAATTATTCGCGAGTTAAGTAAAGGAACATTCTAACTTTAATTGCTCATAACTCCGATAAAAATCATACTATAATTTAAAAAACAAGTTCTTAAAGCTGAAACTTTGCTCTAACGAATGACATAATTGTAACGAAAATTTTGCAACAAATGAAAAACTTTTACAAAAAATTTTTTTTAAATACGAAGAAACTTTTTCCCTGACCTAATTATTTAATATTAAATAATATTATATGCTTATAAGGATATGGTGTATACACTAAACTATCCTATAAGCGCATAATATTATTTGATATTAAGTACTGTTTTAGACATATTAAAATATCATACAAATGTAACATTTTAAGAATATTGTACAAAAATTATATAATATTAAGTAATATT